ACTTCCGCCCTGGGAACAAAGGGCTGAGCTGTCCCTGAACACTCCCTGTTGATCCAGCTCTTTAGGGATTTGCCCCTTCCCTTGACCATTTATGGCATTTGAAATGGGTATGCTTGACATCTTGGGGTCAGTTCTTTGCTCCTCCTTATCGGCCTCTTCTGCCAAATCACACCCTAGGCCTTGTGCCTCCACATTAGCAGATCTACAGAGAAGCTCCACAGTGGAGGCTGGCACAGCCTGGGAAGCGCTTCTAGAAGAGTCAGGCTTTCTGCTCAGCTGAGTCAAGCTTGCTGAGGTCCCCTGCTCCCCACGAGTAGCATAACCAGAAGAGATCCGAGGTGGGGGCACAGGGACTGTGTGTGTCAAACGGGGCACAGGTGGAGGGGCAGCAGAGTGCCCTGAGACAGGCAGAACTGCAGTGTTACTGCCCTTCTCAACGCAGAGCACTGCGGAGGGGGCAGATGTTGGCACCGTCGAGTCCCCACTGTGACTTGCAGAAGGGTGTGTGGAATGGGGCAGCACTGTTAAACTGTGAGGAGTGTTGCTGGAGTCTGCATTTGCTGAACTGGGAACTGGCTCTAGGGAGGGTTCAGAACTCAGAGACATAGTGGAACTAGTCTGCAAAAGGAGACAGAAGGAATAAGGAGAGAAAAAGATAAAGACAGAGGTAAGGAGAAGAAAAAAAAAAAAGCAAAGAATTAAGCATTATAACAATCATGACCTCCAAATCATAAAGCCATGTGATCCAAAGCCTGACTTCCAAAAGGAAAGAAAATGAGGTATCAAAGAGCAGAAGCAATATGACATTGTACTGATCTTCACATGAATTCTACAGCCATGGAGATCCTTTTCCTGTGCTGCCCTCCTAAGTGACAGCTCACGTGTCCACCTGCAGCTGTGACAGGGGCATGCCAGGGCCACTGGGACGCCAGCTCCAGACCCAGGAACGTCTAGACTGTGTGTAAAGGTCACATTAACTTGCTCAGAGTCAGACATGTAAATTTTACATTTCAAAGCTGAAAATATGCAATCAATTAATACAACAAAGCATGACATTTTCTTCTTGATACACTAATAAAATGCTCCAGTTGGCCGAGTTCATGGCCATGAAAACAAAGCTTCAGGGCATTCACAGCAAGAGCAGCTGACATGGACTTTGTTCTATTCACATCACTAATCTCACCTTGGATGTGGCACACACTGAATCTATGTGAGTCTGTCAGTCACTCCATGCCCTTGTAAGCATTGCTTAGGTGGCAGATTAGCCTCGTCCCCTTAGGCCAAAGACATTACAATAAAATCAGCACTAAATTTGTTCCAAAATACACTTTAAGAAGAGCAACTAATACAGAGATTTTGGTTCTTCTTTACTTACAGGATCTTTTGAAAACAAAAGACCACGGGTCCTTCTTTCCCCACTTCCAGTGGTTCCTGGCTAAACTCCAGGAGACAAACTAGCATTACTATTTTTTCTTAAAAGAGGAAAATCACAACTGTAGCTTGGACAACAGCAGGTGAGCACAAAAGCAATGCTGAGCCCTCTCAAGTTTAAAAACCTATCCAACAAAGGATTTCCAAATCCAAGAGCTATCAAGACCTGCTCTGATTCTTAGTCACATTTTCCAAGGAAGCCTCGAGGAGTTAGATTCTTATGCTGTAAGGTGGCAGAGCACATAACTTCCAAAGCCCCATGTGGGGCTCTCGGTATCTCGGTATCTCCGGTATCTCGGTCTCTGCTTAACCTTTCTGTGATACTTATCATGAATAAAAGGATAAAATTAACCAGGACATGCACAAAACCTGTCAGTAGGAGAAAGAGACATCTATCTTCAGCTGACCTAAGCTGCTACCATCCTGAGGGGCCAGGAGCTGGCACACACACAGAGTAGTGCTACAGGGAGACTGTGCTCAGAAAGGTAATCAGTATCGGTCTCTGCTTAACCTTTCTGTGATACTTATCATGAATAAAAGGATAAAATTAACCAGGACATGCACAAAACCTGTCAGTAGGAGAAAGAGACATCTATCTTCAGCTGACCTAAGCTGCTACCATCCTGAGGGGCCAGGAGCTGGCACACACACAGAGTAGTGCTACAGGGAGACTGTGCTCAGAAAGGTAATCAGTAAGAAAATTCATTATCTTTCCCTTGAGTAAGGCCCACAGTCCCAGCAGAGAGGAAAAGGACTAATAAGTACATTTAGTAGTTAAAATGAGGGAATTTCACAATATTGCCCTCTCGTTGTATTTTGCCTAAGCTGGATGCACAAGTAACCTGGTTTGACGCTGTGCATCACATGTAGTTTCCAGACTTCTTAAAATGAAGTCAGTAATTTTCAAGGCAAGACTAACATTTTGGTCAAAAGCAAGTAATGACAACATATTAAAACCAAAACAAGAGCAACGGGTAAGCACTCCACAGTAACAGCACAGTTAACTACAAGCACCCAGCCATGCAGTGAGCAGGCATCGTATTACACAGCAATGGCAGAGGGTGAAAAAACAAGTGCATTAAGTAATCTCAGTGCCTGCTGACTGATGAGCCAGATAACCAAAATCAAATGGATTCTGTAAGCAAAAAGAATGACCAACTCATTAAAGCGAGCAAAAGATGATAAAAGGGTAATGTGTCAGCCTAGAACAGCACTTTTTATTCTAGGGTTCAAGAGACATCAAGCAGCAATGCCTCCACTCCTCCCTCCCAACCCCACCTACTGCAACTTCTAGCTGTACCAACTACACTAATTACACATCATACTTGGGTCTTCTGTCCTATTTCCTGTAATCACACACAGGTCTGGAATTCAAACCTTTCATCTTTCACCTTTGTGAAGACTTTGCTTTTCTCCCCTCGGACACTGGTACAGACTAGAACACTTTTTTACAGACAAACTAACACTACCAGTTGGCACAAAGAAGAGGCAAAACCAAACAAATAAGACTGAAGGGAAAATGTAGCAACCTGGAGCACAGGACAAAAGGAAAGTAACTTAGAAACAGTCAATGACATCATTAGCAAAAGGACAATGATCACAGAAATCATGTTCTTTGTGCTCCAGGAAGAATGTTTAGGCACAGATGAGCTCAAGGCCTTGCAAAAGTACAAATGGTGAGTTTATAAAGCCCAAATCTTAAATCTTGCTGCGTTTCAGTTTGGTCTCACAGGTCAACCAGAAGCTAAGCCAGAAGGCAGGCACTGTTACAGAGAGCAGCTTGTCTGTCACACAGCTCTCACACCTGGGCAAGGTCCTTCTCAGGTGCCCAGAGCTCACCTAGGAGCAAAGGCTGGTGGCAGCAGCCACACCCCAACTTTATTTTCTGAGCCTTGATAAAAGCATCAGGGACACAAGGGCATAGTGCTCAACTCCCACAGCACAGGGAAGGAGCAAGGCAGGAAATGTCATGAGCACAAGTGGGAACCCTCTCCAGCTTCACAACACTGCAGTGTTTCAACCAGGCTGAACAGACACTTGCGGATATCCTGCATTACACCCTAGGACCTAATATGGAGAAAAAAGGCAACACTAAGGTGTCAATATTTGCAATTGATTAAATACACACCAGTCTAGAGAAAACAGTGAGTAACTCTCAGATTCTCACAAAATTAAGTGCATGTGCGAGAAATGGCAGACTGAATTCCACTCCAGCAAGCACAAGGCAAGTGTAGCCCCACATAGTGTGTGCCCACTGCTGGGTCCTGAACTCACACACCTGGTCACAACTCTGGAAACTAATCACCTCCAGGGAACCCACACACATGGAAAGCCCTCACAGGAATGATGGATATGTTCTCTCTGAGAACAGCAACCAGGAAAGCTGTCACTGAACATCCTGTCTACCTCTCCTCAAAACATTGCTCAGCTCTGGCTGTCACATCTGAAGTCATCTAGGAGAGGATGGAGTTCAGCACAGACAAAAGAAACTCCAGGCATCAGCAGAATCTTTCATATGAGGATAAACCAGAAAGCTGGGCACCCTCCTGGGATTAGAAAGCAGACTTGGATGTATATGTAAGAAAGGCAAACCTAACAATGAGATCAGAGAACACCTAGCATACTGGCTTTCCCCACCTCTCTCAGAGCAAATTCAAGTCAATAAGTCAGTGAGACTATAAAAGCAACGCAGCTGAAAGTAGAAAGTGAGAAAATATTGTTCACTTTGCTATGACTATGGGTAAATGAAGTGTCATGAAAATAATCTCCACAGTTAATCATCTAGTGCAGGAATGGTAACATACCTACATGAATAAAGCACAAGTTATCCAAGCATATATGCCAAGTGCTTCACGTATCAAGATGACCATGGGCAAGTTACTCCTGAGATTATGCTATTACAGGATTTTTGTGCTACTTGTGACTAAAATAGCAGTTCTTTTCTAATACAACAGTTTAATTTCCAAACAAGATTCTGATTAGTATTTGCCAACCTCTGCCCCTGCAAGAGGCTCAAACTTTAATCCCATTTTGAGGTGAATCAGAGATTTTAAGAAGAAACCTTTGAAATCTCCAGCTGTCTGATGCAAAGGCTTCAAGGCTTACACTACATGCTTGGAAGATCCTCCTCAGGGAAAGCACATCAGGGTAAAAACACACTCCAGAGAGGAGGGTCATCCCACAGAACAGAAGGGCCTGGTCTCTGTCAGTAAGCAGAGCAGTGTCCCATGCCTCCTCCTTCTCATTAAGTTGTAGCACAGCAAAATAATTCACCCTGTTCTGAGCAGTTAACTAAGCTCATTATCTTTGGCAAACAGACAAACTGCAGAACCGAAGGAAAAACAGATCCCAAAACTGCCTTACCCTGCCAGTGATGAGAATTTATAGCAGTCAAGAACACCTACAACAGCACTCAGAAAGCACAGATACCACCACAGAAGTTTCTCAGAGCAAGTGTCAGAGGTAAGGAGAGCATTCTGGACACCAAACAAGACCAGCAGATGTGGCTGCCAGGCAAGAGAGACTGGGGATGGGAAGAACTGATGAAATATGAAGTTGTCATGAAGTACCTTGAAGTCAGAGAGAGATGCCATCAGCTCATCCAGCTCTCTCGTGGCTGAGGAAGCAGACATACGTGTCTGCTGCTGACTGGCCGTGACGCGCTGGGGGCTGCTCACCTCGCCCTGGCTCACGGTGATCGCAGGCCTGGCAAGGGGGGCAAAACACATCAAATTACAAAAGAGTGTGTTTTAGCCTGAGAGAGCACTTCTAGACTGGAAGTCCCACTGCTCCCCCAGGAAAGCACAGCACAATGAGTTTCATCAGCACAGCCCACCCTGGCCAGCCCTGCCCCAGGCCCTGCTTCCCCAACAACACACAGACCCTGTCCCTGTCTGGTCTCACATGGGCACACACACACCCTCCACTAAGAAGCAGACTATGACCAAACGCTCATTTTGCAGACAGTGGTGGTCAGCTATAAATCTGAGTTTGAACAATTCACCTCTTATGCATGACTTATGCATTTTTTCATCCCAGGGTAGATAAAAGAGCACGAGCATCTTCATGCACTCACTCAACATCTGGCCCTTTAGACAAACAAAGTCTGTCTTCCATCCATCATTCTCCCGCAGCTGCTGCCCCTACACCAGTCACCATTCCCACAGGAGCCTGTCCCACCCCACCCAAGCCTGCAATCACCAAAACATTACTCACACTGGACTTGGCACAGAGCTCTCCAGCTCATCCAGCAGGCTCTCCACGCTGGGACGCACATCCTCGATGCCGCGTGCGCCATTTCGCTTTGGTTTTTCCTTTGTCGGGAGTGCAGTCTTCACTCCCCCAGGGCTGCTGTTCTCTGGGACAACATAGTGAGCACCAGTCACAGTGGGCAATGATGGGCTTCTGCCAGCTTCATCTGAAGAAAGGGGAGCAGGAAAGAGCCATTCAGAGCCCCAGGTCCACACATATATGCTAATCACAGGCAAGAACAACAAATTGCCCAGAAATCTTGTGGAACATCCACCTTTGAGGATATTAAGCACCTAACAGTGCAAGGACTTGAGCAACTTAATCTAATTTTCAAACTTTAGTTAGAGCCAGTTTTGAGATTGGCCTTGCTTTGAGCAGGCTGCTGCAGCACAGACTGCAAGAGATCCCACCCATAGTAAACGAACCTTTGATCAAGGGCTGGAGGGGTTTCCCCTCAGTCAAGATGTCAGAAGGAAAAAGCAGGTTACTATTCTGAGAAGCAAACTACCCACTCACACCAGATGTCTTGCCTTACCTGCTGGGAAGCCACCAGCTGGAGCATGTTGAACAGCATTCAGTTCCAGAAGGAGTCTGTCCAGTTCTGAGAGGTTGCTGCCCAGAGAGGAGCTGTTCATTGTGGGAGATGGTTCCGCTGACTTCTGCTTGTTTGGGAAACTAAAGATAAAAGGGAAACGCGAAAGTTTTGTGTCAAGATACAGCAGAAGAATGGAGGGGAAATCACATTAGGTTCCCAAAGTTTACACATCTACTGTGATCTTTCAGGGCTGATTTAGCTCTCCGGGAAAGAAGAAGGGCTTTGTGATATGACTAAACACAACCACTGCTTAGTCACACCTTCGGTTATCAGTTACAAAGAAGCAGCCTTGATGGGCAGAGCCTCTGCTTTTAGGACTATGTGCTGCCAAGCCCTGCAGCAAAGAGTTAACTGTCTGCAGATCCAAAATGCACAGAACAGCAGCAGAACCATTAGCTCACATAGAGGAAAATGACTTGTTTCTGCTGACACCACACCAAGCAGCAAAATCCTCCTCCCTGAAGTGAGGGAATGCAGGGCTAGCACAGCCTGGAGAAAGAGGCAAAGTACAAACTTCAAGCTATCAGCAAAAACTCAGAAACAATAGGTTATGTGATAGCCTCTTGCAACATTCAAGGTCTCTTTTCAAGTCCTGAGACTTTAATTTGGGGAACTCTAATCAATTCATAAGAAAGTAACTTGATATGTTTTCTACTGTGTTAAAAATACAAGCATGTATAAAACATTGGCTGTAATTACAGCTTATCTTATATGGGTGATACCACTTACCACACAGAAATGCAAACTGTTTCAAGGCAAAATTGGCATCAATGCAGTGATTTTATAGAAATTACACTGTAGTAACAGCCTTCTCATGGTTAATGACAGGGAATTTCTTTTTTTCCTAGTTTTACAAATGAAGGAAGAATAACTCTTAATGCTCTAGAGGTTCTTATTTTATCAGAAAGATACTTTCCAAATCCAAAATGGGAACTTCTGCCTTGTGCACAGGACCATCAGAAAGTTAACACCTAACAGGCTTAAGGACTCTGATACCTGTAGCACCAGTGGCAATTATGAATTCCATCAGGGCAGTTATCACCCTTCTCTTCCGACTGAAAAACAAAAAATCCACAACTGCAATCGGAGGAGGACATACTTCATCCCAAACCACCACACCAGCTACAATTCACACCAGAACCAAGCCATGCCAGACCCTTGTACAGAAGGACTTATGGCTGTAATTACCTCCATTTTGCACTAATTACATGCAGTCATCTGAAAAAATTGCAATTACTGCCTCTATTGGGCCATCTCTGGCTAGGCTAGGCCTGCGTCAACCCAGAATTAGTTCTGGTTGGAAGCAACTTCCTGCTCAGCAGAAAGAGCTGATGTGGCTAGAACATGACACCAAAGAAACAGCAGTCTCCACACTGTAACAAGGTGCCCAGGATGAAGTTCTGACAGCCTTTTCCTCACATGTCAGCAGAACAGTCTGTTCAACTGTACAGGTTAGTCCTGCAGTCTCTCAAAGTCAGAGCAGTTGCCTTTGCAAGTATAAACTCATTATCTATCAATCATCTACAGAGATGGAAGTTTTAAGATGTTCAAATTTACCTGAAAATTCAAGACACTGCACATCCTGCCAAGTCACAGGTATTGAGTTCCCTAGGATAACTGACCCAAAGGCCACTCACCTCCTAGAGAACTTTTGCACTGCTTAACAGGGGGATGGATTTGTCACTTGCCTCTGGATCATGTCCTTCACAATACAATCCAGACCCTGCTCTGTCTGTTGGACCTTTAACCTCTTGCAGCTGAGCAAGCCAAAGGGCCAGGTCAGCCTTTGAAGTGAGTATGAAAGTTACAGTGGTGTCTTACAAAAGAGGTAATCAAAGCCAACACCAGGCAACATAACACATACAGGGAGCAGTGTTTGTTTCCACTTATAGAAGGCAGTTTGAGCCTCAGCAGGCTGGACCTGTGAGTCAGGCTTATCTCTTAACAGGGACAAGATACCTGTAGACGTGTTCCTCTTCACTGGCACGGGGAGAAGGAGAGCTGAGCCCGTCTCTAGGCACTGAGGCACTGGAGCTTTTGGCACTAGAGCTGTATATAGGAGACTGGGACTGAGGCTGTGGAAATGAGATTTGTATTGGAAACAGAGAATGCAAATATGTACACTACTGCATTGCTAACCCACACATGGATAGGGCAGAACAACGCCCAGTAGAAGAAAAGAACCCTGCTCTCTAGCCAACCCAGACTCTATCAGATCAGCTACACCAGGAACAACTGTTCTCCACTCGCTCCAGACTCGCCAGTGAGTCGCAGCTCCGTGCTGGAAAGCCCCAGTCTGCTTTCCACAGGCTGCAGGACAGATGACTAACAACACTCTCATCGTACTACCATTTTGTCAGAACAATGACGATAGGTTTCAAATACTTTTTTGCCATTTGCTCCAACTAGTTAATTCTAATAAAAACCCACACCTCCCCCCATTTCCCCCCTCCGTCCACAGCCAAACTCATTTTCACTTGTTATTCCCTCCTCTTTACTTTCTTGAGAGATACTGCACCCACAAAACAAGCAGGCACACTCCCCACCCGCACACGTTCACTTACTTGCTGGTGGCTGTATCTGGGTGTATTGGGTTGCCACTGGTCCAAGGGGTCAATCACAGTGCCATTCAAGGCCTCATTGGAAGGTGGTGGGGGCACTGGAGGTGGCACAGAAATCTCCTGGTACGTGTGGTTTCCAGTTGGGTAGGAGTAAGGTGTTTCCTCCGCGAGAAACAGTGGCCGTTTGGAGATAAGTGAGGTGGTGGATTCCAGGTCTGCCAGTAAGGCGTCTGCAGGAAAACAAAAAGAAACCCAAAATGGTAAAAGGTTGGACTACAGCTTTGTCTCTTCCTTCTCATTCAAGGTATCTGTATCAGAAGGGTTTTGGGAAGACTTTTCATCTAGGTTAATCTACCCAATGCCTTGAAAAATGTTAATGTTGCCCAGGAATGAATGAGTTAATCAAACTTCTACTACAAAGAAAACACCAAGAGGTAACAAAGTAGCCAGAAAAGCTGTGTCAGTCTCAGATTTTTGTCTTAACCGGAAAACTGCCCAACAACAGGGACCCACAGTCTCACTACACACTGCAGAAGAGCAACCTAGGCAAAACCTGCCCAGAGATCTACTGCAACAGGATATTGACACAGACTAATTACAGGCCCCACATCATCACAGAGTCATTTACTGTGGCCGCAGGCACTGCTTTCTGCAGGAAACAAGATCTTGGGAGGTGTTTTCTCCAGAGTCTAAGGTAGTGGAAGAAGCATGAAACGTTCAGATCAGTCCACTGGTGCAGGAGCAGTATGTGTTTCAGCTTTCCAAACAAATATCCCTCTCACTACATCACACAAACAGTTAACTAGTTTCCAGAGGCTGCCAGGTAAGCGCCATTTCTTCTGGAAACAATTCTCAACTAGCTGGGTGGAGACTGCTCACAAATTCCTGAAGAGAAGAAAAACTTCCACCAGTTAGAAACGCTGTCACTCACGCCAGGCAGAGGACCCACGTCACACAGTTAGTACTTCTCAGAAATCTTAAAGCCCCTTCAGAGACAAGGCACATTTTCACCTTTCCGCCTTTCTCCCTACAAACTATCCTCTGCCCATTGCCAACCCTGCACTCCTCTGTGGTGACTCACAGGCAAATCCCGACCTGTTGGACCTTCTGACCCGTAAACCCATCCCGTGGAGCCTGCTGCAGTCCCTGGTGGGGAGACCTCCAGGGAGTGACTGCAGGTCTGTGCTCACTTTCCGAAGAAAGCCTCCCTGGCCGCGTGCCCAGCTCTGCGCGGGGGCAGCAGCACTCGGCACACCTCCCCCAGGCTGTTAGAGAGGACTCGGGTCACTAGGGACATCCGCACTCGCCACTCTAAGAGCATCAGGACATACCTGGCAGGTCCCTTTGGAGCCGTGGAATTCAGCCAGAAAACAGTCACCTCACTTCAGCAGAATGAGACGGGGAGGCTCTCTGAAACCCCACACACAGACCCAGCTGCCCTCAGAGACTCAGCAGGATCTTTCTCCTGCACACAGCAGGTATTTGATACTCAGCTTTGGGGTGTGAGGACTCAGGCTGAGCGTGGCCATCCTGCAGTGTCCCCCGTGGGGTCAACAAGGAGCTGGAGTTATCTGATGGCACCAGAATAGCAACTGAGCAACTGCTGTCCCCAATGGCTGCCCACGGCTCCGGGCAGGCACCTGCCAGCTCAGAGCCACTGCCCGAGCTCAGCACACCACACCGGCCAAGGCACTTAGCAAGCCTTCAGGAAAATACATTAAGAGGACACTATTATTGCATTACAGGATGAGGAAGGTGCTTTTATATTCGCTCTTCCAAAAACCAAAGCATCACAAGGAAAAACAAAAAGTGGTCCTGCACTCAGAGAACAGGATACAGCCATTAGCAAATTAAATACTGTGTTAAATTAACTCCATATACCTTTCATTCAGTCAGAAAGATGTTCCAAATCATTTAAATCACAGGCATCTTCCTAGAGGGGACAAAATAATACCCCAGAAGCAGATTGTCTGAAGGGATACAAGTATTCTGCATCTGGGGAAAACTGAACTGAACCTTCTTTTTAAGCAAAAGAACAGCTGGTGGATTCCAGAGTGAAAGGCACATACCTCCAGGGAACTGCCGGAGAGCTGCAATTCCTTCAGTCAGGCAGGTCCTATGACTGGAGGTTTCATGCACACACAACCTTCCAGAGAAGGGCTAGCCGAGGAGGAGTGGTTTTTACTTCTCCCCTCCAATGACAAAGGCAAATCAAACTCCACCAGGAAGTGAAAATGCCGTGAGGGTGTTGGGCTCCTCCGGCCCTGCAGAGGGGACCCAAACCATTTTTCCACCCTCCACCCCCAGCCCGCACTGCAGGACAGGCAGCTGTAACCATCTCGTCACAAAATTCGCCTCCTGGGCTCAGCGCCGTGCTGGATGACCCGCTGGACAGAAACCCACTGCCCTTCGCTAACGGCACGGAGTGAGCTCGGCTAGGTGTACCGGTTTCCTTCGACAGGTCTGCGGAAGAAGAGGGGCCTGGGAACACCAAGGAGCACTCAGCCCCGGGCGGCGAAGGAGTTAAGACATTACAGTTTAATGATTAACTTCCCCCGTACCCTCCCCCTTCCTGACTTGAGCAAACAAGGCAGAGCCGAGGAACGGGAAGCCGAGGGAGGAGAAAAGGCTGGAGAGGAATCACTCGGTTACTCGAACTGAACTCCAACTTTACAACCGATACCTAAGCAGCCGCACGAAGGCAGCACCCCAGCCCGGCGGGACGGGACAGGCGTTCACACACCGCTTTCCCGGCGGAAAGGACCTCTCCTTCTGCTTGCTCGTCCCCAAGTTCTGCAAACCCCGCGTCCTCCCTTCCCTGCGCCCCTTCCTCCGAGCTCCCAGCCACCACAGGGGGAAGGAAGGTCTTCCCCCTTCGCGTCCCTCACCGTTGCTGTTCCCGGATCCAATCCCATCAGCAACCACAGCTCCCTAAATTCTGCTGGGATGGGAAGCTGCGCCCGTTTCCAGGGTCCAGCGGGGGCAGCAG